TCCTCTGTTGAGTATGATGTTGGCTGTGGGTTTGTCATATACAGCCTTTATTATGTTGAGGTACTTTCCTTCTGAACCATTTTGTTTAGAGTTTTTATCATACATGGATGCTGGATCTTGTCAAATGCTTTCTATGCATCTGTTGAGATTATCATGTGATTTTTATTCTTCATTTTGTTAATGTGGTGTATCCTGTTGATTGATTTGTGGGCGTTGAAACATCTCTGCATCCCTGGAATAAATCCCATTTAAGTATGTTGTAAGATCTTTTTAATCTGTTGTTGTATTCGATTTGCTAATATGTTTTTGAGGATTTTGCACTTATTTCCATCAGTGATATTGGCCTGTGATTTTCTTTTTTTGTGTTGTCCTTGTGTGGTTTTGGTATCTGGGTAATATTGGCCTTGTAGAATGAGTTCAGAAGCTTGCCCTCCTCTTCAATTTTTTGGAAGAGTTTGAGAAGGATTGCTATTAAGTCTTCTTTGAATGTTTGGTAGAATTCACCAGGGAAGCCATCTGGTCCTGGACTTTTATTTTTGGGGAGTTTTTTGATTACTGTTTCAATCTCCTTACTGGTGATTGGTCTACTCAAATTCTCTGTTTCTTCTTGATTCATTCTGGAAGGTTGTATGATTCTAAGAATTTTTCCATTTCTTCTAGATTATCCAATTTGTTGGCATATGGCTTTTCATAGTATTCTCTTATAATCTTTGGTATTTCCCAGGTGTCTGTTGTAATTTCTCCTCTTTAGTTTCTGATTTAATTTATTTGAGCCTCCTCTTTTTCTCTTGGTGAGTTGAGCTAAAGGTTTGTCAATTTTGTTTAGCTTTTCAAAGAACCGGCTTAGTTTCATTGACTTTTTATATTGTTTTTAGTCTTGATTTCATTTATTTCTGCTCTGATTTTTATTATTTCCTTCCTACCACAGACTTTGGGCTCTGTTGTTCTTCTTTTTCTAGTTCCTTTAGGTGCAATGTTAGATTGTTTATTTGATATTTTTCTTTTTGTTGAAGTAGGCCTGTATTGCTATAAACTTCCCTCTTAGCAGCACTTTTGCTGTATCCCATAAAATTGGCAAGTCATATTTTCACTTTCATTTGTCTCCAAGGTACTTTTTGATTTTTCCTTTGATTTCCTCAATGACCCAGTCGTTGTTCAGTAGCATTTTTTTTAATCTCCACATATTTGAGGCTTTTCCAGTGTTCCTTTTGTACTTGATTTCTAGCTTCATACTGTTGTCATAAGAAAAGATGCTTGGTACTATTTAAACCTTCCTAAATTTACTGAGACTTGTTTTGTGGTCTAATTTGTGATCTATTCTTGAGAATGTTCCTTGTGCATTTGAAAAGAATGTGCATTCTGTGCTTTTTTAGATGAAATATTCTGTATATGTCAACTAAGTCCACGTGGCCCAATGTTTCATTTAAGGCTGATGTTTGCTTATTGATCTTCTGTTTAGGTGACCTATCTATTGATGTAAGGGAGTGTTAAAGTCCACTACTATTGTTGTGTTACTGTCTGTTTCTCCTTTTATGCTGTTCAAAATTACTTTATAAATTTAGGTTCTACTATGTTGAATGCATAGATGTTTATAAGGGTTATATTCTCTTGTTGGATTCTTCCCTTTATCATTATGTAGTGCCCTTCTTTGTCTCTTGTTATAGTTTTTACGTCTGTTTTGTCTGATGTAAGTATTGCTACCCCAGCTTTCTCAGCAATGCCATTTTATGAAGTATCTTTTCTCTCTCTTCATTTTCAGTTTATAAGTATGTTTAAGTTTGAAGTGTGTCTTTTGTATGTAGCATGTATGTGGCTCTTCTATTTTTATCCATTCAGCCACCCTATTTCTTTTGAATGGAGCATTTAGTCCATTGAAATTTAAAGTAGCTATTGATAAGTATATACTTATTTCCATTTTGTTAGTTTTTTTTTCCTGGGTGTTTTAGTAGTTCTTCTCTATTTCCTTTTTCTTTTGCTCTCATGCCTTGTGATTTGATGGCTTTCTCTAGTATTCTGTTTGGGTTAATTTTTTGACTATTTATTATAGGTTTATGATTTATGATTACCATGAGGTTCATATATAATAACCTATGCCAATAGCAATCTACATTAAGTTGATGATCTCTTAAGTTTGACCTCTGACTAAAAGCCCTACTCTTTTACTCCCCTTACCCCAACATTTTATGTATATGGCATCATATTTAACCTCGTGTGTGTGTGTGCGTGTGCGTGTGTGTGTGTGTGTCTCTTAACCTCTTATCACAGAAATAGATAATTTTGGTACTTTTGTCTTTTGACCTTCATATTAGCTTCATATGTAACTGATCTTCTACCTTTACTGTATATTTGCCTTCACAGTGATTCTTTTCTTTGATAATTTTCTTATTTCTATTTGTGGTCTTTTCTTTTCCAGCACATGACAGTAACTTTGGTGCTCTGTAACCAGACCCCTGCAAATCACCCTTACTTACTGTGTGATCATGGGTAAGTCATTGAACCTCTCTGTGCCTCTGATTCCTCATCTGAATGCTACCCACCCCACATGGCTGTCACAGGGGTTAAGTGAAGAAGTAAAGCACTTCCAGCAGCCCCAGGCACCCAGTGCTGTTGCGGGGTCCCATCCCTGGGTGTGGGCCTCCTGGCAGGCTCTTGCTGACAGTGTGTGGGCTGAAGGAAGTCCTGGAAGCTGAGTGCTCTGCATGGACCTCACCTCTCAGGGCCATCTGTAAAGCCTGCACTGGGACTGTCCCCACGTTACTGTGAGGAACGAAAGTGGTCCCAGCCGGGAGCCCCGGGTCTGCCTGCAGCGCCCCTGCTCTTAGAGGCTGCCATGACCGGGGATGACGGGGACAGAACACAGGCCTCTGAGTCACAGAGAGGGGGAAGTCACTGTAAATCTGTTTTTCCAAATCATGTTATTTTAACTGCCCAGGGCGCATGCCCTCATGAGCAAGGACACTCGGCTGGGCTAGAAACACTTTCTCCCCTGAAAGGCCCCATTGTGACCCCGAACTGGTCCCGAGTGATTCCCAGAACAGCAGGCCCTTGTGTGGGCCCTGCAGGCCTGCTCACTCCACCCCCGGCTGGTGTGAGAACCCTCTGCTCCTCTGTAAGGTCAGCATAGGAGCCTTAAACCCCCCCATTCGGGCTGCTGCCGGGCTTCTGATCAGAGATACTTCTTAGAGTTTGGTTCTAGGATGTCGATGAAGCTCAGCTCCTGTAAATTGCATCCTCCCCAGAGAAGGGCAGGTCCAGTGGGACCAACTGTGAGCAGAACAGGGGCCAGGGGGCTGGTCCCAGAGGAGGACTGCATGTGGATGAAGCCCCTCCCAGGCCACCCTGCCCTGCCCTGGGAAGGCCACCAGGAGAATGCCCCCAGGAGGTGCCCCAGAGCCCCATGAACAAGGGGGCCCCAGCCACTGCAGTCACAGATGACAGCCTCCAACACGTCCTGGGTGGACGTGACCCACAGCTGCCTCTCGCTTTGGGCCCTCCCCTGACGCACACCCTCAGCACATATTTGTAGGGACTGTGGTTTCTTCTGTCCTGCAAGCTTTGGTTCCTGGTCACAAAAGAGACATCAGCTTCTTCTGAATCCTTTCTTGTGCCCATGGAGGCATTCAGCTCTTTGTTCCAGGAGTTTAAAACGCCTAGTTCCTCACCATCTTTACAAAGCATCAGCTGCACTGGGTGGGACTTTGGCTTTGTGGGGCTGCAAAGTGGAACTTGGCAGTTGCCTGAACTGGCATTGTTGTGACTTTAAAGCTCACACCAGCCAGCCCCTTTCAATAAGGACCTGGACTTGGCCATGTGGCCTGCTGAAAACCCTGCCAGTGGTCTGTCCCAAATGCCCGGCTTCATCTCCTTCTGAAGGCCCACTGGCATCAGGGCCAGTGAAAGGTCTCCTGTCGATGTCACTTACTGAGCGGCTGGAGGACAGACCCTCATGGGGACAGGTCTGGGCACCCCAGAGCAGTCAGCAAGCACAGGGCCCCAGGGACAGAAAGAGCAGGCCCAAAATCCAGCTCCAGTTCTCCCTAGCTGAGAGAGTCTGTTTCCTCACCTGTAAAAGGACAGTCGTGGCATCTCCTGTGGCCACGGGGAGGACAGGAGGCTACAGAGATGTAAGGTGTTTATTCAGTGCCTGGCGCAAGGCAAGAGCTCAAAAAATGGCAGACTGGGTGGTTATGCATGTGTGGATATGGGTTCTTTGGGCTGCTATGTTTGGGTGTTAATCCTACCTGACCTTTGGTCCAAATCAGTGCCACCAAGCAGGCAACATCTCAGGAATGTCCCACTTGCCCTTGGTGTGGTACCAAGCTATGCTTCAGAGGAGGCTCCCTCCTGCCCCAGACTCAGAGGCAGAAAGGTGAGGCATGCCGGCCGCAAGAAGCTTTGGGGTCAGACACCATCCCACATCTCCAGGGATCAATGTCCCAGCACACAGTAGGTGCTCAGTCAATGCCCCTTCTCTGCAGTCTGACACCTTTGAGCTATTTCCCAGCAGGCTCCTTAAATGCCCCTTCCCCAGCCCCTTCCTCCCCAGGCACGTGGGCTTCCAGGGGGCAGTGCGCCAGCAGGACCCTGCCCATCAGCCAGCACTTTTACTTGCAAACACTCCCCAAGGAGCTGGATGCAGACAGAGCTGAGCAATGAGATGCATGAGCAAGGGATCTGGACCAGGGCGGGTTGGGGGAGAAGGGTGGTCTGGGGGAAGGAAAAGCAAGACCAGGAGAGGGCATTGTTTGAGCCTGCTCATCCCATAATATCCAAGGAGAAGAGGATGCAAATCAAACGCCAAATGAAACTGCGAATTTCACGCTGACTCAGGATGGGAGGAAGAGTCCTGTCAGAGCATCATCTGCAAAGCCTTGGACTAATGAGGGTTTTATCCCGAGACCAATTTGCAAATGAAAAAGAGAAAATAGAGAAAGACCATGTCAAAGTTTCTTTAAAGAGAATGATTAAAATTTTCAAAACACTGAGAAACCCGTGGGAAATTCAACTAATCCTTTGGTTTATCTTTTGATGCCGTTCAAAAATGCGCCTCTGTCAGCATCATGGAGCTGGCTTCCCAAATGTGATCAGGCAGTTTTGTTGAAAAAACAAGACTTGTGTCAATCAACGCTTGATTGTGAATTTTCTTAAACAAGTGACATGCTTCCATCATTTCTTAATTTGAACTTTAATTTTTCAAGATGACGTCCCAGTCAACCTTCCGCTCCTGATTTACTCTGAAGATTGTTACTTAAGTTTTGTTTTACGTGGACTCACTGAAAGTGGCCCTTTTCTGGAATAATTATCCTGGGATAACAACGGACTTCCTGGAGATGCCACTGAGACCTAACTTAGTCATGGGGTCCCCAAGGTGGGAGGGAAGGAAAATGTCAACTAGTTAAACCTCTGCCTGAGGCTGTAAGCTTTGCCCTTGTGGCCGCAAGCCAGAGGTCAGCCAGCCCTGCCCGTCTGCCTCCACGGCTGGGGGCTGACCAGTTTCTGAGGCTCCTGGTCTAGTGCCCCAGCTCTGGAACACCATGGATTCTTTGAGTGAAGGGATGAAGGAGCACTTCATGCCAGGAGCTGACTCTCAGGATTCCTCACTGAGCGCCCCCTTCCCATTATCTCCTCTCCTTTCAACCTGGGAATCTCATCCCCAGAATGTGGCCCTCAGCACTTGTCACTTCACTTCCTGTCACTCTGCAGTCTGGTCCCCTTTCTCCCCTATGGAGTGGCCCAAGGAAATTCTAAAAGCAGTTTATTATCCACATCACTAACTGGAACAGAACACACAGCCCACTGTCCACAACATCTCTGACCAGCTTCACAGAGTGAGAGGAAACTTCTATACCTTGTTTTCTTGTGGCTTGAGGACTGTCTAATTGAGCACAGACCTCTGTCTTGTAGGAAAAGGAAGGGACCCCAGGCTGGTACTTGGTGAGTGTCCAGAGGGTGAAGGCATCTGAGGCCCCTGGTAGCTGGGGAGGGTGGGAGACCAAGTGCGGGCCTCCCTGAGTGCAGTGGCCGAGCACACACAGCTGTCATCTGAACTGCCATTGATGCCACATCTATACAGTCAGTCTAAGCCCAGGATTCCTCAGAAAGAAAGCTGGAAAGATGGTCCTGATACTGGGGAATCGAAACAAAATGCACAAAACACCCAACAAAAGTGTTGAACATAAAGGCACTTTGTAAAGTATTTCAAAGGTTTATCATCTTCACCGTGGACATCTGCAATATTTGTTGGGTGAGTTTTATCCTTATGACAGGGAGAATCTCCATGAAGACTTAGAAACACGCCACCAGATGGGGGCTCAAAAGAGCCTGTGGAAGATTCCAGCAGAGAGTTCTCAAGATCCGGTCCAGGGGTCAGCAGGGATCTTTGTTCCATGGTCTCTCAGATCACAGTCCCTACACTCCACCCCACCACCCCCTTCCACAAACAGGAGACGACCCTGAAAGAAAGACGGCTCAGTAGTTGGAGGTTAAACGCAGCAGGTCCCAACCCTGACAGGAGGGACAGGGGAGAGTCAGCACAACACCCACAAGACACACAGCATTGCTCTTCTTTTGGTTTCTTTTTTCCACCTTCAAGAGCATTTCTGCATGCTGAAAAGCTTTGCTGCAAGGTGGGCCGATCAGTTATCACTATCTGAATCTTCACCTAAACTATAGTCTAATATGCCGCAAGAAGCACACACATGTTGCACGTATACCAGAGTGGCTAGGTACGAAAAAACCTGAAATGAAGATAAATGACCATTAATGGCATGCATGGGGAGATGACTAGGCACGGGCTGTCCACACTTGGGTGGACACTCACGTTGAGCTTGGGGACAACAGACCCAAAGTGTGTGGACTGTCACTGTTTCCCATCACTCAGGCAGACATTCTTTCTCACTGAGCCCAGACGTGGTCCTGAATGCTTTCGGCACAGAGCTCCAGGTGACCTGATGACCCCCTGGATGTGGTATGCAAGATTCACTGTCTCCATATCACATCATCATGCTGGTGCCACCAACTGCAAACAGGGGTCCTCAGAGGCCCCTCAAATGATACAGGCGAGTATCAACTGCTCTCCATGGGAAACTTGCTACCTCCACACCAGGAAGAGCCAGGTCCACCAGCTGTGAGCCCAGCGGCCTCGGCTGGAGAACATGAGCACAGGGTTTGCTGGCTCTGGGTAAGGTCTCAATGCTGCCTGGATGTCCTCAGACCCATCAGACTGTTATTCTAGGATCATAATCTCACAGACACGGGCGAGGAGCCAGGCTCACAGGACTGAGGGATAGGGACAGGGAGGTGGGATTGTGAGATGCTGCAAAGGAGGGGCTCCTGAGAAAGCCACTGGGAAGATGCAGGCGGCTGTTTAGATGCTGGGAACAAAGTCCATGGAAAGGTAGCACAGGGTCACCTGTGGACAGTCAAGTCCCTGGGGTTGAACCCTGAGTGACCAGGACTCCTTCCCCTGTGCACGGACACAGCTGATATTCTGAACAGAAAGGCGGGACTTCACATTGAACCAGGCTCGTATCCCCCTTGATGGTTTCAGCCCAGCATCCCTGCCTGCTGAAAACATCGTGATTCCTGGTTCTGGCACTCCTGACTCTGCCTGGGCGTGCTCACGTTTCTCCAACCCAGCTAACAGAAAGGGGGACACAATCAATTGTGGACTGGATAAAGAGATGCTGGGATAGTCATGAATGGAATACTCTGCAACAACGAGAAGAAACAGTCTGCATCTCCACCCAACAGTGAGACGAGCCTCACAAACCTAAGGCGGAGAGAAAGAAGCCAGAGAGAAAAGAGACACACTGTGCAGTTCCACTCACATGAAGTTCAAAAGCAGGCAAAATCGAGCTGGGCAGCTAGGAATCAGGCCCATGGTCATCCTTGGTGAGGGTGCACAGTGACGGCGGCAGGACAGGAAGGGGGTCTCTGGGAGCTGTTTATGATGCTCTATTTCTTAATCTGGATACTTGTTACACAGAGGGGTTCACTTGATGGAAATTCATCAAGTTGTGCACTTGCATCCTGCTCACTTCTCTGGATCTATGTTGCATTTTCATAAAACGTAAAGAGAAGTCGGAACAAGGTAGAGCCCAGTGGTTCTCAGCTAGAGGTCTGTCCAGTGGGAAGGGCATTAATCCACCCCATCTGGGTTGTTCCGCCAAGTGCTGACCCACTAGCCATGTTCCATCTACGTATCATTACTGTTGTCTGCAATAACTTTATGGAAGTTGTTGGCAAAGGCCTTGCTGATGTCTGTTCAGAGAGAAGGCTTCTGGGGTTGGAAAGGGGCAAGGTATAAGGCTCTCTAGATGAGGGGAGATGAAACAGAGTCATTTGAAGGATGGAGGAGGTGTATGACCAGCCTCCCAAGAGAAGGAAGAGCATCCTAGGGGCTGCCTGGCTGTGCTACTGTTTAGAAACCAGCCATGTTGGGAGATGAGCCAATATGGGAGGCGATCCCACACTGTGTGACATTTGAGGGGTGCAGGGAGCATGAGGTGGCCATGTTGATGGATCTGGGGAGCATGCTGGGAGCTTAAGAGGAGCATGTGGCTTCCCTGGGGCAGGGGATGGGCCCACAGGGACCAGCAGACAGGCTTTGAGGAACCTTCCTCAAGGAATCAAACAACTCCCATCCCTGTGGGATTTCTCTCAGCCTCTGCTCTGTCCTCTCCAAAATGGGGAGATGGCACAGCTTTGGCTGCTGGAGCTGCTATCTTGTGATCTTTCATTACGTTTCACCTCAGGATTTCCATAATTCATAAGTTGACCTCTAGAAATCTGAGGAGTGCTATTTCTGAAACTTTTTCTTATTTTTTAAAGAATACCCTTGGCTAGAAATACATCTGATATGGTGGGTTAGCACACATGTGCAAGCCCACCATGCACAGCTCTGGAGAAAAGTTTTACAAAACAATACATTCTCTTACTCCTGTCATTCCAACCCATTCCATAAAAAGGAAATCCAGGTCATGACCTCACATGACCTCCCCCATCAGTGGGTCTGGCCCGCAGTGGAGAACGTTCCTTTTAGAGCTCAGAGACCTGCACACACCGTGCCCCCCAGTCACACACATTCGGCACCCGCGTTTGTTCTGCTGACGGGGTAAATGAGGCTCAAGCCCTGCTCCCCCCAGGGCTCCTGTGAGGCCTCGGCAGGAAGCTGTTCAATATCCACAGTCCTTGAGGGGAAGGGACAGGAATCCCCGTCCCATTTCACAGAGGAGCAGGCCGAGGCTCAGGGAGCACAGGGGACGTGCACGGGGAGCTGGTGGAGACGAGACCTCTGGCCCCTCCTCCTCCCACAGGTGCTCAGAGCTGTGGGGCAGGAGACACCGTCACGAGGAGCTGAGGCCTGATGGCACAGCAAACACCCACAGCTGGGGGTCTGGACTCGCTGGGCCCAGAAGGGCCTCCCCACAGCCCAGCCCAGAGCCAGGGCCTGGGGAGACCCCGGTCACTCGATTTTCACCCCAGGCCTCAGTCTCCCGCCCCTGACTGTGCTTCCATGGAAGACCGCTCAGGGGGCCAGGACACCCAGGGGCCAGACTCACTGCTCCAAGCTGGTGCTGAGGGTGCCGACAGGCACCTGGCCTGACACCAGCCCCACCCATTCCCGGGGACCTTGGAGCACGTTATCCTGCTCGTGGGGCCCTGGTTCTCCATCTGTGAAATGGGGATGACACAGCGCCCACACCCCAGGGCTGCTGTGAGGGCTCAATATGATGGTTCATGGAGAGCTCGGATGGTGCCGGGCATCAGCGGTCATGTCCTCACACACCCGCCCTCCACAAAGCCCACCCAGGACCAGACCCTGGGCCAGCCTAGGCCTGGGCAGCGCAGGGCAGCCTTCCACTCAGACCCTTCGTCAGTGGGCAGTGGGAGCTGTGCACATGGGTAGGCTGACTGGGGGACCCACCGTAGCAAAGATGTTTTCAAGATAATGTTGGTATGTGAAGTAGGAGCCCTCTTGCATGTTGTTGGTGGCCAAAGCTTCCAGGATGGAGGCGCTGAGGTAAAACATGGAGGCGAAACAGTGGTAGACTATGTCCTGCAGGGTCAGAAAGGGCCGTTGGAGAGATGAGGAGCCCAGACATGGACACTGGGGCCAGCTCTGCTCTCAGCAGGGCTGGTCCATCCCACCTGTCCCCACAGGGCATGGCTCAGGATCCTTGGTCGTCTTCCACTGCTTCCTTTGACTCTCCCCAGCCCATCCACCATCACCACACCCCCACACCCTTCACTTGGAGGTTGTTTGCTCAGCTGAGTTTCATCTCGCTGGTTTGGGGGCAGAGGAAGGACTTCAATGGAGAAGGGACGCTGCCCTCCCTTGAGGGGGGACCTAGTGAGGGGGGCAGCTGTGGAGTTAATAGGTAGGAATTGGTTCTGGACCTGAGAAGTGTCATACATGGTCACAGTCCTAGTCTGGATGTGGCCTCGGTGACCAGTGCAGGAGAGAGAGGCCCAGACCATTTCCATTGTTGTTTTGTTGTCATTTGGGTTTTTTAGTGGGAAAGGCAGGGGACTCCACGTATGTTTACAAGGAAAAAGTCCTAGACCGGGGTTTGAGCGGCTGTAATTGGGAGGTGATTTCTCAAGTGACAGAAGGAGACCTTTTGAGTGACAGCCCAGGCCAAATGACCCCACCCACTCCAGGGGACATAAGGGGCAGGGGTCCATGAGTAAATTTTACCCTCTTGAGAGGCCTTAAGCCAGAATTTATGCAGAACAGAGACCACAGGTCATCTCTCTCCCCCATCAGCTCCTCTCTGGTGACCCAGCTTTAGAAGCTGTGACATGGAGCGGGGCAGTACGCATGGCCTCACACTGGGCAGCCAAGGCCAGCCCCCAGGACCCTGCTCCCAGGAGATAGAAATCAGTGCTCCTGGATGATGGGAGGTGCCAACAGGCCCCTGGCAGGTGCAGGTGGGATGGGAGGGGGGTTGGGCTGCTGGTTACCCAAGAAAAAGGCAGTCACACAGGAGGAAGCAGAGCAGATGGTGACAGTCAACCTCTGCCATCCCCTTCTCCTGACCTCCTGGCTGCAGGGAGCCCTGGCCTGCTGTGCACAGCTCGGAGTTGAAGGCCGGGCCAGCTCAGCCTTGGAACATGGGTGGGAGATGTCTACAGGGCAGCCTCACCCAGCACTGGAAAAGCCAGCCTCCCAGGGGAGATGGTCCTACCAACCCTCCTCAAACATCCAGGTCTGGGACTCACCAGGATAACCCAGGAAGTCTCCTCATAGTCACTGCCACACATGTACCAGAAGAGCAGAGCAGTGGTGCCCACGAAGCAGAACACAGACACGAACATCACCCAGCCCTGGGTCAGGGGGAAGGGCACCAGGGACGAGGCAATCAGGATCCACACTAGGCCCCCTAAGACCTGCAGAGGGAAGGGGGGCAGGGTGAGTATCGGGCCAGGAGAGCCCATGCCCAGGAAGGGCCAGACCCAGAGGTCACGCTGGGGCACGAGGGGCAGAAAAACAGGAAGGAGGCAGAGAACAGCGGGGGGCATTTCCTCACCGAGAATGACTCTTTCAGCCCCAAGGCTCTAGGCTGACTCTCCAATCTCAGTCTTGCCCAATCCTGTGCTTCCTTGCCTTTATTCACTTTTTAAATACAATTTATTTTTTGTTATTTAATGAGTACTTGTATCACATTTATATGCCAGCCACTGTCCTAAGCACTTTACAAATATTAACTCAGTTAGTGCTCTTACAACCCCAATGAGCAAGGTACTGACCATTTGTCAGATGGGGAAACTGAGGAACATGGAAGTTAAATAATTCATCATCCCAAGAAAGGACTTCTACCAGCCAGTACTATTATTAGAAGGGCTAATTCTGAGATTATATCTTTCCTAGTGTTTTTGATTTAAAAATATCCTTTCTTTTATGAAATGGTAGTGTCCAGAAGATTCTTTTGGTCTTTATTGCCAAAATAAATTAGCCACATTGTGTCATTACCAGTTTTTAAAATAATTGACCCCTTAAGTCCCCAAGTCCAGGAAGTGCTCTGAGTGCTGGCATTGGGGCTGGAGAGAGGGCCCAGGGCAGTCGGGCTCCTTGGGGGGCTGAGGATGGGCATGACAGAAGCACTCCCTGGTCATTATTCAGAATACACCCCAGTTATCTTCACAGGATCAGTGAGCCCCAATCAAAGAGGAGCATAAGGACAGACATGACGGTCACAACACCCCTCAGTGCCACAGTCCCGCTCCCGCTGTGGACAGGCACACCCCAAGCTGGGACTCTCTGTGCTTCTCTTCCCTTCTACTTGTCCATCTTCATCCCATTGACATCAGCTCAGCCTCATCCACCATCACCACCCAGATAAGGACTGTGCTGGGCGTGGGCTGGGACACTGGGGAGATGGCTTTGCGGTCAGAGGTTCCAAGGTGCTGTGACCCTTGCACCATCCTCCTGAGCATCTGAGGGCTGAGGACGGGCTGCTTGCCAGTTCTACGTCCCCTGTGGTGTGAACTCAAGTGGTACCTTGACCTCGTCTCCCTGTCCCTGCTGCCCACCTGCTGGGTAAGAGACACCACTGTCCTCACAGGGGTTCTCTGATCCTCTTAGCTGAGAAGCTTCAGGAGAGGATCACATTTGGTGGAAAAATCAGTGCAATGAAGCATTTGGAGTGATCAAAACCAAGTTGGGCCTCATGAATCAGATCTGGGCATCTCTGCCCAGAAGACTTCCTCTACTGATGAACCTGAGATGGCCTGGAGGAAGGCACGTGACAGAGTGAGTGTGACACGCTTTACAACTAACAGTAATTGGAGCAAAATCAGTTAAATGCAAATCCTCAGACTGCCATAGATAAGACGTGTGTGTCAATCTCATCCACAGTTGCCTTTAAGACCAAACAGGTCACTTGGCCTTTTCCATCACGGGCACTGACACAGGGACATGAGTGTGCTGATGGCTGAGACGGACTTGGATTTAGGAGGCACAACAGTGTGGCATGGAGAAGAGGGAGGATCAGACGTGCCCATCCTGTGGGCATAGGCAAGGGCCTGGGACACACTTGTCCTAGGTGTCCTTTGCCTGGTCAGCGGGTGACCACCCAAAGAGGACCAATCTAAGTCAGGTCCCCATTCATGTGCTCTCAGGAAGTCCTGCACTGTCCCATTTGCAGCTTTCTGCACAAGACAGGTGGATCTGGTTAGTCACAAAGTGGCACTGTCCCTGACCAGGTGAGGGAGGGGGTGAGGTACCCCTTGCTCATGGCTGACTCTTGGGTGTGGGACACAGGGAAGACCCGTCCAGCCGTGTGTCAGTGTCCAAGTTGGTTCCAGCCTTCGGGGTCTCCTGGGAGACTGGTGTGCCCAAACAAGTGACTGATGGACCAAATCCCAGAGGAACAGCTGGCCCTGCACATGGAGGGGAGAGCCCTCCATTCTGGAATCCCACGTGGGACCCAGAGGGGCCCGAGGTGCTTGTATGTGGCCAGTGGACATGGCATTGAGAGACACTGAATGCCACATCAGGAAAACAGCTCTCATCCCCTCAAAAGAAACCCTGCACCCTATTGCTATGGCCCCCTCCACCCCTCCCATCCTTAAGCAACCACTGATCCACTTCCTGTCTCTATGGATTCCCCTGTGAACTTTCACATGAGCTGAATCATATATAAAACGGGGACTTATGTAATTAAGCTTCTTTCCTTTGGCATAACATCTTTCAAGGTTAGAAATTCTCCTTGAAAGACGTTTACGAAATGTCTCCACCATCACAGCACAGCCCACCGGCCATTCTGACCCACCATGTGTGGACACTGAGTGAATGTGGCTCAGCTCTCTGGAGCCCCCAACTGGGAAGAGCTGAGGAGCCTCTGGTTCCCAGGGATGTTCTCATAGTACACATGCCACCAGGCCCCGTCTGTCCCAGAAACATATTTTAAGTGACACATCATGTGATGGGAATGTCCTCAGCACAGAGGAAATGATGAAACCACAGGGGGCTTTGCTCCCAGGAGATGGGCTGTGGGCCTGCCCTGTACCCCTCACAGCCCTGCCCAGCATGCGCCCGGGGAGAAATGCAGGGCAACCTGCACAGGAGACCACCTGGGAGGGGGCTGAGGTGGGTGCGGAACACCCCTGAGAGAGGATGGGTGGATCAAGGAGAAGAGAGGAGAGTGAGAACAGAGGGTCTATTCCAGCTGGACATCCATGGGCAGCGTCCTGGACACAGACACAGCTGCTGTGAGAGCTCCAGTGCAGATGTGTGCTGGAAAGGGTCACAGCTGGAACAGCTGTGCAGGTGTGAAGGCCCCGCTCCTCCCGGGCACATGCCAGCTCCCCCAGCACCTCCACCATGCAGCATCTGCACGCGCAGGGGTGCATGTGAGCCCTGGAGACCGGCTCTCACTGCATGTGCTGGAGGAGATGGAGCATATAACCCGGCCTCTTGGGCCATGGCTTCCTTGTCTGTAAATGGCATTTTGCAGCTGTCTCCCCACACTCCGGGCTGGTGCAAACTGGCTGAAACCATGGAGGTGAGTGTGAAGCTGCTGGCATCGTGCCCAGCACCACCCAACAACTAGGGTAGGACACTGCTCACCCAGGAGGCCACAGCCAGGTGGAGACAGACGCAGAGGCAGCCCGTTACAATGCAGGATGACGCCCCACCCGAGTGGGCCAAGCATCCTGGACCGGGGCAGGACCCTATCAAGTCTTGAAGGGAGAGGTGGACGGCACTGGCTGACCTGGCCACAGGGTCACCAAGTAGCTCACCAGGGGGAGAGAAGAGTACACGCCGAGTCCAGAGGATGCTGGAGCACCAGTGAGGGTTTCAGAAGGCCGGGGAGCCATGCACGAGGTGGGGGACAAGGAGTGGCTGGAGATGGGGCTCGAGGGAGGGTGAGCCTGCGACAGAACTGATCGCTGGGCCAGTGTGGAGGCCTCCAGGCCCCGCTCAGTGCAAAGCTGGGATTCGGCGGGAATCACGGACACAGCCAGCACCTGCCGCCCTCCCCCTACTCAGTGTGCAGAGAGCACCAGGGAGAGTGGACGCTGCACCCACACCCAGGGAGACCAGGCCTCCTGGGCAGGGAGTAGCCCACCCCATCCCGGCCTCAGGACCCCGCTGAACAAATACTTCTCAAGAGCAAAGGGGTAGCTGAGGGTTCAAGCATTTCCCTTCATAAAGAAAACTCTAAGCAGCTCTCAGCTTCCAGGCGGCAAATGCTCAGAGGCAATAACCTTGAAACACGAAGCACACAAGTGGAGGCAGGGCCTCAGTTTCCCTTCCACTCTGTCTACAGTGCAGGCTGGACTTCCGCCAGCCCCGCCGGCCCCTGGGTCACCGTCCTCCACACCAGAGAGGGTGCAGCTGGCTGGTGTGCTCTCAGACGAAGGTCTCTAAGTCGGGGGGCCGACAGTCACCTGGGTAGAGCTCTCTCTCTGGGCCCAGGTCCCCAAGTTGGAAAATGGGGGTGGGGCCTGGGCTAACGCTCTGTGGTTCTCACCCTCAGTCTACACTAGAATCACTGACACCTGGAAAAACACCGATGCCCAGGTCTGGGGCCCAGGGTCTGACTAGACTGCAGAGAAGCAGAGTTACAGGACAGGAAACAGACACTCGGGCTCTTTGCCAAAGGCCTGGGGATGTGTCTACACCACACGAGCCTGTGGACAATGCTCTGGTGACCCCGTCAGACAGTAGAAGAAGTGCCTGCTGTCTGCACACCCTGCCTGGCTCAGCACTGCTGGCTGGTGATCTGAGGCCCCACTCACCCTGGTGTTTCAGGACTGGAAACCTCCTATCTTAATTCAGTGTGGCTTTGGATGCTGAGCAGAGCTGAGATTCTCCAAGAACCAAGGATAGGGGTCGGCCCTGTGGCCAAGTGGTTAAGATCATGTGCTCTGCTTCAGAGGCCCAGGGTTTCGCCTGTTCATATCCTGGGCGCGGACATGGCACTGCTCATCAGGCCATGCTGAGGTGGTGTCCCACATGGCACAACCAGAGGCACTCACAACTGGTATATACAACTATGTACTGGGAGCCTTTGGGGAGAAGAAGAAGAAAAAAATGGAAAAGGCAAAAAAACCCCAAGACCCAAGGATAATGTACAAAACTAGACCAAAAATTTCCAGACTTAAGAGTTTACATCCGTGGTCTACCGGATCAAATGATTTTTGTGAAAAAAATTTCCTCAGGAGATAGTCATGGGGGGAGCTCTCGTGTAATCTCAGAGACGGTTCTCTCTTTTTCTCTCTGAATTAATCCACAGGAGGCAGGCAAGGGGGATGAAGGGTGTAGACTTTAGAGCCAGAGTTACCATGTTTGAATCAGCTCTGTCACTTACTAGCTGGGTGGCCTGTTGTCCCTGGGCTAGTTACTTAACCTCTCTGTTCCCTCTCTGAAAAACAGTGATAAC